CATAATTTGGATAATCAATCAAAAAAACCGGTTTGATAGATTTTATTACGTGCAAGGAGTAATTGCCTGAGCCTTTCGGAGAATTAACGTAATCTCGTCGATCACATGTTGAAAACATTTCCGAGAAATATTCTTGGTAGTATTCCCTTACCTTTTTTAAATAAAATGATAATATTTTAAATCATTATCTTTAAAAGTTAACAAGGTTGGAAATCACTATAGCTTGGTAATTGTTAGATTGCCCATCTAGAGATATTGATTTGATCTTCTAATGACGTTCGTTTTTAAAATAAACTAAATGCGTTTATGTAACATAAAGTTGATTGCTTGCAAAAACAGAATCCATTTTAATGTCTTTGGATGTAACATAAAATCCTTGTCGACGAAACCATTCCTTCTGACAAAAAAACCAACATAAAAGAATTTGGAATATTATGTAACCTTACGTATATCCTTGATGATTAATTAGAGTAAAACTGTATTAAAATCCCAACAGAGTATATTTAACGGAGTACGATAAGCCCGCCTAAGGCGAGCAGTCATGAGACCGACACAAAGTGGTCGCCTTGGACATGTGGTCGCTATAAACAAATTCATGCTTGGAATATTAATGATGAGAGAAAAGGTTATACTTGATATTTCTAGTCGCCGTAGACGTTATAGACAAGTGGACGCGATGGTGTATTGGACTGTATACAAAACTTTGCTTCATGTGCAACATTTTAGAGGTAAACAACTTTGCTAAATTTTAAATTTGAAATACAACGTTGGCTTTCCGCACAGCAGTATCAAGCTCTGCTTTTCTAGTTGAATTATTAACATTTAAGAACTATCACTTAGTGTAAAATATGCAGCAGAATAATACACCAGGTCAAAGTGGGCATTAAATACAATGATCTATGTACTTAGCTACTAGGATAATGAATATAAGTTGCATCTAGAACAGTAAAGGCATGGTTCCCTTTTTTGCCTTGGTGTACCCGTCGTGCATGGATTGAGATTGGCAATATCAATAAGAGGCACATTGATGTTGTTATGATGTTGTTATGTACACAATACGGATCCTTGCAAATGAGTCAATAGCTTTGCAAAATGTGTGCATAACTAAATCAACCAATATGTTTTTATACCTTATCAGGTTTCGAGTAAATTACATACTTTATTTCCATGACATTTTCATACATATATTAGTTCTCACTCAAGCCGACCACGACTTTAGCATAATTGCAAGAGGAACTTTTTCCCAGTTAATCACATCGCTTAAAAAACGTTTTGAGAAAGCATGTAACATGAAACTGATCTTTTATTTATCTTTGATCTGGAACTCAAACAGAAATCCCACGTCTGCTTGATATGTGAAGCGCTAAAATCGACTGCGACATTGATGCAACAATTATTATATTTTTTACCATATCAATATTTTGGGTACCCTTCAATGTTGCAGAGCCTTACAGCACCACCATTAACTGCTTTTGATAATGCAGTCTCGCAAATCAAAGTAAGGAAGCTAACGTAACCTACGTTTGAATGCAGGTATTTTTCCTTGCGCCAGTTCATCCAGTTAATATAGTGGGTAATTAAAACTGGGTTTTCATTTTAACAGCTTAATTTTAGTGGTGTCGAGGTCTGGCGGTGGCACTAGTATTTTTAATCAAAAAACTTGCCAAACCGGATAAATGTAAACAAGAACCGTTAAGTAATTTATTTATGCTTGCTAAAGTTTCTATATTCTTATGCTATTTACGTACATCTACCTGATTCGCAGTTCAATATTAAAATTGATTTGGCAACGTTATGCAGTTAGTTACAGAACGTGGATGCTAGTGTATAATGATTGGCTGTTATTACTTGCGATTCGTTGCACGACATATATTATACATTCACTTATAAATCTTTCTGCGAAACAATGGCAGTCATGATTATTTTTAGTATCTGAATGATTTAAAGGAAAGGTTGTCTTTTACCAGCATATCAGTAAGTATGTACAACCACACATGTTCATTTTCCTTAGGACCCCTTATAGGCGGTCGAATTGCACCAACCGACGCGGATTCGAAGTGATAGCTTTCAGTTCCCTAGAGAAAGTCAGCGTTTGGCCTCATCATTTTCTCTTCCAACCTCACTTGCGGCGCGCAAACAATGCACATCGCGTGTGTCAGCGTGCTGGCATGCGCAACACATGACCCAGCTATTGATGCCTGGTGCCTGATCGAACTATATTATGCGGTTCGCTAGCTCTTCCTACAAATGTCCGCAACTTTGAACACGCTCATTGCACAGGCGGTGCTCTCACCAGACGTGAGCTAAGCTGCGGAGGCAGCGATGGTCGAAGGTGGCTAGCCTCTTTATGTTTGTCGACTTGATGGATCAGACTTTGCAACCATTTAAGATGGTTGAACGAACGTCTGTAATGCAATCTCTACCCTTTAGGGCGAGAGTAATGTTGAGCCTGCACCACACGTGGCAGGAATTAGCAAAGCACCTCGAGCTTCCGATACACGCTTCGTAACATCCTCTTCAATTCCTCTGGAGCTAATATAGCTACCCTGGGAACTTAATTCCTGAACGACTTCAAGCTGATTACCGCCAAGGGTCAAAGTAGGGGTGCGTCGCTGTCAATCTTTGGAGAAAACCATTGCATTTCAATGGAGCAAAGCATAGTTAAAATCTATTGACAGTCAGTCCTACTAGGTCCAACGCAGTCAAGCGCATTTGGGTGCTGTCGCATATGAGAGCAATGTATTCCGGATACTATAAGTCAAGAAGTCGCTCATCAGGAAGTAGATCTACACCTTTTAGATGGTGTCCAGCGCACGATTTGTTCATGACTTTATCAATAGCAAAATAAAATATGAAAGGTGACAGCCGGCAACCTTTCTTCACACCGCTGGAGATGTTGAAGGGCGGTGACAGTTTGCCATTAACCCTCACTTTGCTCGAACTATAGGCGTACAGCTCCTTGATAATGTTTCATATATCTCGAGCACACCATTTCTCAGTAGGCTGTTTTAAACAGCGCTTCCAAGCATTGGATCGAAGGAACCTTTTATCTCGTAAAGCACTGCAACAATGGATCACAAATAAACATTGCGGTTCGCCAAAAATTGACGCAAAGTGAACATGTGGTCAATGTATCCACAATTTTGACGAAACTCGGCTTGCTTTTCGTGGATCTAGTCCTCATCCACGCCTGCCATCCTGTTAAGAACGACAGACGCAAGCAATTCAGAGGAAATTGTGGTCAGACTGATCTCTCTATGGTTTCCGCCTTCTTAACGAGAATCTCCCTCAAAAAGGAGGAATATAATGGATTGCCCCTAGTCGGGTAGAACAGTTACCTGTTCCCAAACTTTAACCAGCAATTAGTGTAAATCACCCACCAGAGCAGCTTCACCGAATTCGCTGAGAGCCGGGGAAAATCTATCTGCACGAGCGGCCTTATGCAATTTCATCTTGCTGCCCTCACGTTTGACTTCTGTGCGTGAGGGCGGATTAAAGGAGATAGCCCATGTCGAATGGCACTCAATGTTCGAAAGAGAAAGCAAAAACTCAGGTTGGTTAAACTCCTGGCAATGTGTTCGGCCAAAGGGTGCACGCGTTTTGTCAACCTGTGGATCAGCCGTTCACTCTCGTCGCGTATTTTCTCGCTAACACCAGGTATCCTGCAGCCTATTTCCCGTAGCAGACGAAAAAGCTTTCCAAGATTACCAACGGCAGCGGCGGTTTCACCTTCCCATGCATGATGAATGATTCTGTGTCATACTATTGGTTTTGTAAAGGTGCATACCTTGATTTTTCAGCAGTGCAGGTAAATGTGCTACCAATGTTTTGCATCGGACATTTGTGATAACAGGGGAAAAATCTAGAAAAATTACTGCTTTAATCTTTTGCAATAAAGATACATATACACATAATTTTACAAATGTATGCAATATATACGAAGTAATGAATGTTGGAGACGGTAGGCTTGCGATAATGAACCCATAAGTGATGTTGCTAAAAGTAAAATGCTGGCTTCGCAATTGTTTAAAAAAGGAAGTGCTTTAAAATCGTAATAACTTAAACCCCCACACCTATAATTTTCACTGACATAAACCGTGTTTGTGTGCTCATATTCGAGTTTTGATGTGGATCAGGTGTACGTAGTGCCAACCTTGAGTCAAAATAGCTGAGGTGTTTTCTACCTCTAGCTAACTTGTATATTGAACAGTAATGAATGATTGCAACCCTAATGACTAGTTTTATAAATACGAGTAAACTATGTATATTTGTTTAGACGAATTACCGAATTAGATTAAGTTGGCAAGATTTATAATATTTGCAGTGGCTTCCTGGTAACAGAGAGGACTGATGAATGGGGGTGATGACTAGCATATTGGAATGACTTTGTTAATGCCAGATATTAGGAGATACGAAAGAGATTCGTTATATGTTCTTCATGTTATCCCGGATGATTTCGCTCGTGGAGATTCACGAAAAGGCGAGATTTGCAGACTCATCCAACTTACAAAACTACGGCGGATTCGCCTCGAGCGTTGCATTTTAGTTGCAGTGGATGGGTTTGGTTTGTCTTGTCTCTAGCGCTGTTGCAAAACGACATGGAGAATGGTTACCAACAGACGATGCGTGCTATATGACAATAAGTGCCATGCAAAGCTGCGGTAAGTACCTTGTTGATTAAAATATGCTTGGCGCTGACAAAATATTTACGCAGTGATTTTCCTAATGCAGAAACGGTTTTCTGAATGCATATCCTCAAGCAATTTTATGGGCGTTGTAGTAATCATCGCAATAAAACGGAGGCGGTAAAATCCCTATTGTCTCGGATGCTTTGTACTATCCTCTTAGCTGATGACATCGAGTATTAACATCACATGGTAGATAACATACGACGCATTAACACGAATATTTTTATTTTTTGCGGCTTACACGGTCATCGTAGCCTCTACGTCGAGCCGCGCCTCTGATGAATCACATCGTATTCGTGGGATGCAACAACAGCCTGGGTTCATAGAGCTAGCGCCCATATGCCTGACGCCAATCACAGTTTGGATAGCGAGTTGCGTGAAGCCAATCGCTTCAAAAATTCCCGCAATCGACGTGACTTCGGCATCGGCATTGCTGAGCACATGAACCAAAGCTCAGGACAGTCTTGTGCCGATTGTCTGAGCGTCATCAGCTTCGGCGATTTCTGCATTCGTGTTCGGCCTGAACACCGCTCCTTGGAGTCCATGACTTCACCCTCAAGTGACGCTTCCGATGTGGCACCGGCTTGGCATCTAGGATGTTTCAGATGTGCAACTTGCTCCGAACATTTGGTAGACTACTGCTATGCTTGGTCAAACGGTCGACCTTACTGCTTGCGACATTATGGTCAACTCATCCGTCCTCGATGCGCCACATGCGACCACCTCATTTTCTCTGAGGAGTATACTCGAGCTATGGATCAAGAACACCATACTGGTCATTTCGCTTGCCGCAGTTGCGATGCCTCGTTAACCGGACAGCGGTACATTCTACGTGACGATGAACCTCATTGTTTGGGTTGCTATGAGGCCAAATTTGCCAACACATGTGAACAATGCAAGGAGAAGATTGGATGCGACTATAAGGACCTGTCCTTTAAAGAACGCCACTGGCACGAAAAATGCTTCAAATGCTCTGCCTGCGCCACCTCTCTGGCCGATCGTCCGTTCGCGACGAAGGAGGAGCAGCTGTATTGTTCCGATTGTTACGATGAGCGATTCGCCGCTCGCTGCGACGGTTGCCAGGGTGTGTTCAAGGCTGGAATGCGCAAGTACGAGTATCGTGGTCAACAATGGCATGAGGAGTGTTTCCTTTGCGTCGAGTGCAAGCAGCCAATTGGTGCGAAGAGCTTTATCCCACGCGAAAATCAAGTGGTCTGTGTACCTTGCTATGAGGCCAAGTACGCACAGCGCTGTACAAAATGCTCTGAGGTTATTCGCCGTGGAGGCGTGACATACAAGGGAAACCCGTGGCATAAAGAATGCTTCACTTGCACAAATTGTGCCAAGCAGTTAGCCGGACTGAAATTTACGTCAAAAGATGAGCAGCCGTATTGCGCTGACTGCTATGGTGAGCTGTTCGCCAAGAAATGCACGAAGTGCACTAAACCCATCACCGGTTTCGGTGGGTGCAAATTTATCTCCTTCGAGGACCGCCACTGGCATTCTGAATGCTTCCTATGTGGCAAATGCAATTGTAACTTGGTCGGCCGCGGTTTCCTCACCAGCGATGACATGATCATGTGTTCGGATTGCAGACGCTAACATCACCCCGGCTGCAATCGAAGTGCAGCACCTCAGTCTCTGTGACCTTGTCGTGCAATAGAGTCATGGCCTCGGGCTGTCTCGTATCAGCTAGCATGTGCAGAAGCGTGACCGTGACTAGATTCAACTTTACTTTTTCTTAATCACCCACAGTGCTCCACTGTTTCTCTCCTCTCTGTGTACCTTGTAACAGCAATCATGTTAAAATTAAATTAAACGCCTAAGGGTGTGCTTAGTTGCGCGATCCTCATTTTCCGCATTGTTTCGTTTCATTGTTGAGCGAATTACCGATAGTTTTGGGAGGCTTGAAGCGCTGATGGATACTGATAAGCTAACAACACACTTATTTTCAATAAAGTTTGCAATGACAATCTTACTTCGCATAATATTTTCTCCTACGTACAACGACGGTTACTAAGGCAAAGGAAATGTGCAAGAGCTGACAGAGTTAATTACCACAACCAGTCTGTTTCACTCTGACTACTCCCGTGCTATCGATGCCTAAGCGGTAAATGCTCTGCAGACTCAACGTTTGGATTTCCTTACCCCTACAGTATGCTAAACTTGTTAAGCCTTTATTGTTCTTGTCTTTTTTCACATATTTATTGTATTTCCTAAACCAACGTGCCAACTAATCCAGTGTCGCCTGTTAAGCCTCCTGCTCTCCGAATTCACTGACGTCTGAGGCGGCTGACCTAATGGATCGGTTTATATCACCTGGAGATCCTCGGGGACTTTGTTACTCTTTATCAATAAACCGTTGTCATCCCGGTGCTAATCGTTTTTTATCGCACTCACTGTTTGCATTCCTTTTTCAATCAGATGGTCGGCTCTCATTATTCTTGTGTGAACTGGTCTCTCCTAACCAGTCTGTTTCTATCTGGCTGCTCCTGTGCTACCGAAACTTAGGCGACATAAGGTCTGCAGGCTAAACGCTATGTTTCCCTTACCTCGAATTATTGCTAGAATGTACTCTTTTATTGACCCGTTTAATGTACCTCCTAATCCCAACGGTGTCGACTTATCCAATCTCTTCTGCTCGACCTCATGCTCTCCGAATTCACAGACTTCTGAGAAATTAACTCTCTTGGTTCGGCCGACCAAGCCATCTGTTTACATAACCTGTAGAGCCCCCTTGGGCTTTTTATATTTTAGCAATAAATCTGTATCATCCCGATTCTAACCTTTTCTTATCACGCTGTCTGTTTTCATCGCTTTTTCAATAGGAAGGCCAGCTCTCACTGCCCCGCTGTGATCTAGTCTCACCTGATCAGTCTGGTTCTCTCTGCCTGCTCCTATGCTACCGAGACTTAAGCGGTATGAGCTCTGCAGACTAAACGTTATTTTCCTATTCCTCGTGAGACTGCTAGATTTGTTCGCTGTTTATTGTTTTAAATTATTTGTCTACCTTTGTTTTATGTCCTAAACAAAATGGAGCCGACTAAGCCAGTCTCGCTTGATCGGCCTCCTGCCCACCGAATTTACAAACTTCTGAGACGTTATCACACTTGGTAAGGCCTGTTCATTTTTCTTCGAAAGCCTCTTTGACCTTTCTATTTGTTATCCATACCACGGAGAACTATATAAACTAAGTGATGCGTGCCCAATTTATTGTTTCCTTCACACTGAGACCTCTCCTGGACATATTTACGCTTTATTATCGCAGCTGCTTTCATCCCTAACATAGCCACTTTGCTGACTCGTCACATACGTCTTCCCAAATTAAGTAAAGTACTCAATGTCAATTCACCGACTAATCAATTCTCGTCGCAGCTACATCTTGATCTCCGACTACACTCAGTCTACTGAGAAATCAGTGGGCTGAGTTTAGCTAACCTAATTATTTAGAACATACATACTTGAGATATTTAATTTATAACGATACATATAATTTTTCATTAGTTCAAGCACTCTTGAGACTATGCTTATTTTTATCTGAGCTCCGGATGCGTCGTTGTTGTCTGTTTGTGGGACTGCATTTGTCCTTTGCCACATTTTCCCAAGATTTCCCCAGTAGTAGCCAGCGACCGAGGAAATGTCCACTACTTTAACCACAACACTACAACGGCGCACATTACCCCTTTACCTGGAAATGGTTTGATAGTTATTCCGATGTGTTATAACCTATCGGATGGACAAACCACTTGTTCGTTATCTTGGATGGATACCATCATACTAACGTTTGAAGAATTGCCTTCAGCTGGCCTCCTCTTCTCATAATTCTTACTATGAGCTCTCGCTGACATTTAATTTCACCTCGGAAAAATCACCTGACTTCAAAGGGCAGATTTTCTTGCCATTGTCATGCCCCTAATTTGGAAATATCCCAGCACAATGCTTCCTATTACTATGGTAAATCAACTTACTTCGGAGATTTTCATTGACTAGAATTGTACTTATCACTTAGCACATCTGGAGCAATTCACACTAATATACCGTCCACTTGGCCGTGGATCCCAGGGTTCCCAATCTATACAACTTACTCCTGGACGTATTACAGCTTGTAACTTCGGCCACCTTGCTACACTTTCAAGCCTTAACAATATGGTTTGGCCATTTTTCGTGCTTCAATAAGAATTCAATACCATAGGACTTTGGATACTCATCGGAGACATTAGGCGGTTATACGGACGACAGATATTTAACTGTCCTTAAATGTTCCATTCATTGTTTACCAACGAAATGGTAGTGCCGTTTTGTCAGGACGTGACGGTACCTGTGGATTAAACGGTCACTCGCCCATCATGCATAAGCCAGCGAAAACTATGGATGTGTCCTGACTGCGACTAACCGAACCAATAATCGGTCAATAAGAAGCACCGCCAGGTACAGTTTGTCGTTCGAAGGTTTCAATGGTAGTGTTCCAGGTAGTATTGAGTTTCCGCCTGGAAAGCCTGCTTCCTGTAAAAGCCACAAATCACTTGACAACACTGCAACATGACCGATGTGACTGGCAACCGAATAAAGTCACAGCCCATTACTTCACACTGCCAAGCTGACCACGACCGCGTATCACTATGCTTGATACGCCCCGACATTTCCTAACTGCATATTTCTTCGCCAATTCTCTTTATGCCCATTCATCGTTGTTCTCTTCGCTAGACTCACACTAATTCAGCGTAACGGGTAATCAGAGTGAAGGTTGTTTTTCATAAGTTGTTCTCTAACTGACCACCTCTAGTTATTGTCCTCTTCGTGGTTGAATTGTTACTGCAATTTATAGCAGAATGACTATGCCCCTGCGAACGGTTTGATAAGGAGTATGGAAACCTGGCTCGGATGCGGCGCAGAATCTAGGGCAAATTCCTTGTCTCTGGCTCTGCCAATGATTACGAAGGGTATAAATGTCAGCGGAATCTCTGCAACAGTGCAAAAAATAATAAACGCCGACACTTCGAAGAACAGCTCGCATTAGCCGCGAAGACCGCCCCAAAGAGAATCTTTGCATACCTGAAGCGACGCCTGAAGCCGGCGGGTGATGTGCCAGTGCTGGATGGCACGGATGGACAGCCCCTAACCTCCAGCACTGAGCGTGCGTCCGCGTTAGCGGCGCACTTCGCCTCTGTATTTGCGAATAACCAGGTGTCTGTTTCGAGTTCGACGTGTACCGCATTTACCGAACTCGATAGTCTGCACTGCTGCGTCGAAGAGGTAGCTCAACTACTCGCCAACATTGACGGCACCAAACCTGCCGGACCTGATGGGCTTCACCCACTGGTTCTCAAGTCACTTTCAACCATCCTCTCTCCTATCGCGACTGACCTTTTCAACAGGTCGCTCTCCGAAGCTTTGTTGCCGGTTGACTGGAAATGTGCGGTGGTGAAGCCTATTCCGAAAGGCGGCGACCCTAGCATAGTAGACAATTACAGGCCAATTTGTCTGACACCTATATTAGCAAAGGTTGATGAGAACATCGTGAAGAAGAGATTGCTGCAGTTGCTACAGTCAAACGAGGTCCTGACGCCCGCACAGCACGGTTTTATGCAAGGTCGCTCATGCATTACGAACCTGCTTGTGACGAGGCATGAGTGATTGAAGGCAATAAACAAGGGGAAGTCCGTCGACGTGATATTCATCGATTTCAGTATAGCGTTCGACAAGGTCAGTCATGAGGTTCTCCTTCACAAACTCAGCATGTGTGGCGTCGGTGGCTCGCTGCACCGGTGGATCCGCGACTTTCTTGTTGGACGAAAGTGGAGGGCACAGGTCGTCGACCATCTAACTAACGGGTACCCCTCTACAAGTGGCGTGCCTCAAGGCACTGTGCTGGGCCCCACTTTGTTCCTGATCCACATCAACGATCTACCGCAGCGTCTCCGGTCGCCGTGTGCCTTGTTTGCGGACGACATAAAGATTTGGAGAGAAATCGACGCTCCCGACGACTGTGGCCTACTTCCGCAAGATCTCAACCGCTTATCCACATGGTCTGCAGAAGTTCTTCTCCCGGTCAACCCAGCCAAGTCTGTATTTATGAGCCTGGGGAAGGGTGCTGACGGCCGAACCTACACCCTTGAGGGCCAAACGCTATATCCTACACCCTCCGTGAAGGACCTAGGTGTACTCTCACGCTACGATTTGAAGTCCGTGGACAACACGAACAGGCTATATCGGAACGGACTGAGCATGCTTTGGGCGCTCAAACGTAGCTTCGGCACATGGTCTGAAGAGGTTGCCACTTGCCTCTTCTCTTCTATCATTAGACCAACGCTAGAGTACGGTTCGCCCGCCTACTTTCCGATTACCCGAGGCGAGGCACAAAAGATCGAACGGGTCCAACACGTTGCTACCAGGCTGATCCCGAGTTTACGTGGCTTTGGATATGAAGACCGGTGCGAGAAGCTAGGACTCTACACCTTGTCCTACCGTCGGGTACGAGTCGACCTCAGTATGACCTACCGAATTCTACATTTCGGTGAGTTCCCCATGTAGAGGCCAATGCTGCACTTACGAGGGCCATGCAGCACACGCGGGCACAGATACAAACTTGTTGTGCCGGATATGAAACGTGTTCCCCACCCACTGTGCTTCGAACGGAGAGTGGTAAACATTTGGATTAGTTTGCCCGAACATGTGATTGAGGCAACATCTGTGCAACAGTTCAAAACGTTGTTAGCTTTGCATTTTGCCACTATTCGATTCAGAGAACGACTGCATACTTACGATGAAATATCACATTTGTGAATCCTGA